TCGGAAAATCTTGTACGGCTTGGACTTTCTCTGGGTTTGGATGGATACCCCTTGCGGATACAATATGTCCCAAAAACTGAACCGATTCACGTCCGAACTGACATTTCGTTCCCTTGAGCTTCAAGCCAACTGCTTTGATTCGATGCAAAACCTCTTCCAAAATCTTCTGGTGTTCCTCCCAGGTGTCAGCAAAGATAATGATGTCATCGATAAATACCAGACAGCCGCTCATCCCATGGAGAAGTTTCGTCATCATTCGCTGAAAGGTGGCTGGGGCGTTTGTCAAGCCGAAGGGCATAACAGTAAACTCGTAATGATTTGGGCCAACTGTGAACGCGGTTTTAGGAATATCTTCTTCTCTTAGAGGAACCTGCCAGTAGCCTGAAGCCAAATCTAACGTGCTAAAGAAGCGTGCTCCACCGAGTTTGTCAAGGATCTCGTCTACTCGCGGCATTGGAAACGCATCCTTCCTGGTAACTGCGTTTAAACGCCGAAAATCGACACAGAAACGATAATCACCGTCCTTCTTGGGGGCCATTACAATTGGAGAGGACCACGGGCTGTCGCTTGGCCTAATGAGACCTCGAGCAAGCATTTCATCAACTTGATTATTCACCACTTTGTTTAAATGGACAGGTATTCTGTATGGTCGTTGTTTGACTGGTCGACTGTCCTCAGTGTCAATAGAATGTTCAGCATCATTAGTCCGTCCCAAAGGATCATCCGGTCCATTTACAAACACGTCTGCATATTTCTCCAGCAGAACCGATAATTTGTTGATAGTTGGCGCAGCTGCTTCAATAAGCAGTCGCGTCTCCCCCGAGTCCCATGACAAAAGTTCCTGTGCAATGTTAACAACCATTCCGTTCGCTTTCAAGAAATCGGCGCCGAAGATACACTGGTTCTGCATATTTACTACCACAAAAGTGTGGACTACATTTAAACCGTTCACTCTTACATGAATATCAGTCATGCCAATCACGTGCAAGTTCTCTCCACCAACTCCTCGTGCCCTCAATTTACATTCCCGTATGTGTCCTTGGACAATATTCTTGTTTACCAGTGACACAGTTGCTCCCGTATCTACGAGACAACGTTGCAGGTGTCCACCTAATGTAGCTTTAATAAAAACTGCAGTCGGCGAGACACTGTTTATTGAAATGGCGTTGTCTTCACGGGCTGACCCCAGGCCTAATAGCGGGTCAGCCCTTGGTAGTTTCCCTGGTGTCGTTGTTGTGGGGCTTGATACCGATATTGACAATCACGGGCAAAATGTCCGAGGTCACCACACACAAAGCAGTAATTCTCGTTCCGGCGTTGCCCAGGGTCATTTCTTCTACGATCATTTCTTCGCTTGGGTTGTCGACATTCGTTCGCGATATGGTTAAATCCGCCGCAGTTATAACAAGCTCTACCACGACGGGGGTTCTTCGTTCGTATCGCTGCCACTTCGCTGATGTTATTTACCGATGCGGAAAGTTGGTTAACCTTTTCGGTGAGGACCTCAACGCTTTCCTTTAACTGGCGCACCACTGTTGACTCGCTGCTAGATACGTTCTCTCTCTGAACTCTCGTCAGGTTCACATCATGATCAGTATTTGGACTTGACAGCTCGGGTGTCAAATCTAATTGTTGTGCAATCTTGACGGTCTCCTCGTATTTCAGGCTCGGCCTTTGCAATAGCTCCCGTTTTAGCGCAGGAGACGATCCTTCAATAAATTGTTGTTTTAAAAGCGTATCTCTCTCGTCATTCCCGATATTAGGGATCGCTCGGCTGAGCAATGTTTCCAACCCATACGCGAAAACTTGAATGTCCTCTCCAGGCTTGCGCGCACGTCGACGAAACTCCATCATAGCAATATGTTTGCTTGTTTCATCGCCGCCGAACGCTTCCTTTATCGCTGCTATAAGGACTTTGAAATCTTCCTTCTTGTCGTCTCCAAGCCGCTCGAACACTACAAACGCTTTGCCCGATAATAGCGTCGGTAAACGCTTCAACATTTCATCCTCTTTCCAACCATTTGCCGTCGAACACAGCTCGAACTTTCGTAACCACAGTCCAAAATCACCGTCTGAAAATGTTTCAGGAACAGATAACAAATTTGCTCTTGTTGTCGCTGTTGATGTAGTCATCCTGGTCACGGCACCAATGTAATATATCACGACACGCAAGCAGTATAAACAAATCACTTTATTAAATCCTATTCTAGTTCCCTGCACTCAATGCACTATATTCTTGTCCTGTATATTGTCTAGCAATCCCGTTTGTTATTGTCATCCGATATCCTTTCTTGACCCTTGCACGCGACCTTTATTAATCATTAGACACCTTCGTATACTACAGCAATGAGAATAGCCTCAGCATAATGGCGGTCGTATTATAAATACGACAATCGGAGACAACAATCACTATAATTCTCGCAGTATTATAATAACTCACCTTATTCCTTTCGACGTTTATCACATCTTTGAAGTTACAGGCGAACTAATTCTAAAGCATTGACGCTGTGAACCACACGTTTTGAATTGCATTGGCGGCCAGACCTTTGTCATTCAAATACAAACGGCAACCTTGCTCGCTTCTTCCTCACACTGTTTTAAAGCCATCTTTATGCTTGAAATATGAATATACTAAAGCCATTTTAATCAGTTTGTATCGCTTCCATCGCACTGACACTTAGAAGCAATCCTAATAGAACCTTCGCACCACAATAGCAGATATATTCCCATACAAACGACCACAAACTATATAAATTCCAGTATTGATGTGAGAAGAAGGTATTAGATTTCACGGCGGCGCTATCCTCATTGGTTGAAAGCTCGATCATGCGGCGCGCGAATATTCAAATATTTCGGCTTCATTGTGTGTTATCTTCATATTGTGTTGCTACTGCTGCAAATTATAGCGTGTTATAATATTTAAAATGCGATATTTTGAGGTCCAATTTTGCCAGTTTCCAATCTGTATGATGAAATGCATAAACATACATGACACATGCATGTGACATGGGAACTATTTCTGTTAATTTATTATTTATATGTTTAAAAGTATTAACTTCTGAATTCAAATGTTTCATTTGTGAAATGGTTTATAATTTGCCAGTAAATTAATATGCGGCTGTTTCATGCTAACAGTAAATAATATTCGGATAAATATTTGCCAATTAATTAATTTGGCGAAATACCTGTAATCGGCCAGCCCTAGCCTGTGACGGTAGATCAGGCTCAAAACGTGTGTTTATAGACCGCGTTATACTGTAAAAGTGTTTTAGTTTAAGAATATATGTTATTCTAACTGCACAAACAGTTTTAACACCACCAAAAAGGTGCTATTTTAACACCCGTGCTCAGTGCTAATTTAACACCACCAAAAAGGTGCTATTTTAACACTCGTGCTGCGTGCTAATTTAACACCACCAAAAAGGTGTTATATTAACACCCATGTTCTCACTCCACAAACAGTGCTAATTTAACACTGGGGAATACAAATTCTTAACACCACTTATGGTGTTATTTTAACACCAAGAATTTAGCACCAGAAACCGGTGTTATTTTAACACCACCTGTCCTTAAGTGGATGTTATTTTAACACCTCTAAAGTGGTGTTAAACAATTTGAGTGTTAAATTAACACTTTGCAAAATATTTTTATTTATGTCGTGTTAAATTAGCACCGAAAAATGGTGCTAAAATAACACCTTTGTTTAACACCACCAGTTGGTGTTAATCTAACACCACCCGAGGTGCTATTTTAACACCCTGAAATTAACAGTGTATATATATATATATATATATATATATATATATATATATATATATATATATATATATATATATATATGATTTTGTATAAAATACTATGTATAATATAGGTATTTTTTTTACCGTGTTTGTTTCAAGATATGTATATATCAATGATTAACTTACGCGAATTGTATTCCTTCCACTCGTGAGCTCACTCAAAAGAGTGTCCAGGCCTTGTGACCCTGGATGGGCACTTAAAAGGAAGAAATACACACACACATAAAGAAAGATTTTATTCCATTTCATACTCATAGTTACATGCTTGTTCAAACTTAGGTACAGATTGTTGTTTACCTAATGGCGTAGTGAATGTATCTGCCGTCCAAATAGTGATAGCGGCCCAGACCTCCATGTCTACGGCACCTTTAGCATTATAAGCAACTATGGTAGAACTGCGCATGACATCGCGTGGGAGTTGTTATTCCAAGTTCAGGGTCATTGACAAGTGATATACATAATTTAACAGGTTAATTTCCTGTGGCTATAGTAATGGAGAGTGCTCGAATAAATAAATTATGAGCATAATATTAAAGATATTTTTGAAAGAGTTTGTTTCTCTTGTCGCATTCGAGTTTACTGCGTAATGCTCGAGTTAACAGCGATATAGCCAAAAAGTGCTCAATCCTAAATAGACTCCTCACCCACCCCTTCGTATTTGAAAGAGAGCTTAATATGATTTAGTATAAAATACTATGTATAATATAGGTATTTTTTACCGTGTTTGTTTCACGACATGTATACCGGGTGGCCCAAAAAAAAGTACTCCTGTTTGATTCGTAATAACATCTAAACAAGTATAGCTTTTAAAGAGAAATTTAACTTGCATCAAATAGAGGAAGGACTAACTTAGACTTTGACATATTACAGTTGTATTTCACTTAAAAATTCACGGAGATATTAATCTTTAAATTCGGGAGGATATTTCTGGATGTGTCTGAAATATGCAAAAATCGGCGTATCAAATATTAATCAAGATTTGCCCGACTGAAACATGCACTATTACCAGTAAATAAATGACACTTGACAAATTGTTTATTATGAAACAGAGTATTATTATATCTACAAAATACAAGCAAGATTCATTCGTCCGAAATTCGCGTGTGTTCCTAGCACGAATACGTTTCCTTATTTCATGAGACCACTGCATCGCGAAGGATCGTCATTGGATCGTTCGTAGTTCTGAATTAGGGCATGCTGTCACAACGGAATTGTGAAGCTCTTCTAACTTCTGCAACGTTCTGAAATCTTGTTAAGAACACCCAAACTCTTTTGCCGTTTCTTAATCTTGGCAAGTTCATGGGGTAAACTGAGAATTATATGAAACACAATCAAACCATACAACTCCATAAGACATAACAATTAAGCAACTCCCCAGAGACATGCAACATTTTTGGAACAAAACGTAACAAAATAGTAGCGTTGATACGGTGATGTGTATTTTCAAAAAGCAATATTATTTCCTTCAATAAAGAATATTCATCCTGCTCTAACCGAGAAATAATCTACTCAGTCTGTTTGAACCCATTAAAAACATAAAAAAATTAGGCTATTTAAGAATACGAAAAATTTAAGCGCCTGCCTTCCATGGTCAGTCTTTCATGTACATTTAAGTTTGCAAAGACCTAATATTAAATACTTGCATAATTTCGAACGTTCATATTTCAGGAAACAATGAGCTAAGACTTACATGTAAGATGTCTAATCTACGCCATATCCCTTACAAACCTTAACGATAATTCGCTGAAATACAAGTTAGCCTAATATGTCATTAAGCAAACAAACGCTGGAGTTAATATTTGATATGCCGATTTTCGCTAATTTTAGACACATTCCAAAATATGCTCCACATTTTTAACATTAATATATCCGTGAATTTTTAAGTTAAATACAACTGTAATATATCAAAATCTAAGTTAGTCCTTCCTCTATTTAATGCAAGTTATTTCTCTTTAAAAACTTTACTTGTTTAGAAGTTATTACGAATCAAACAGGAGTACTTTTTTTTGGGCCACCCGGTATATCAATGATTAACTTACGCGAATTGTATTCCTTCCACTCGTGAGCTCACTCAAAAGAGTGTCCAGGCCTTGTGACCCTGGATGGGCACTTAAAAGGAAGAAATACACACACACATAAAGAAAGATTTTATTCCATTTCATACTCATAGTTACATGCTTGTTCAAACTTAGGTACAGATTGTTGTTTACCTAATGGCGTAGTGAATGTATCTGCCGTCCAAATAGTGATAGCGGCCCAGACCTCCATGTCTACGGCACCTTTAGCATTATAAGCAACTATGGTATAGAACTGCGCATGACATCGCGTGGGAGTTGTTATTCCAAGTTCAGGGTCATTGACAAGTGATATACATAATTTAACAGGTTAATTTCCTGTGGCTATAGTGATGGAGAGTGCTCGAATAAATAAATTGTGAGCATAATATTAAAGATATTTTTGAAAGAGTTTGTTTCTCTTGTCGCATTCGAGTTTACTGCGTAATGCTCGAGTTAACAGCGATATAGCCAAAAAGTGCTCAATCCTAAATAGACTCCTCACCCACCCCTTCGTATTTGAAAGAAAGCTTAATATGATTTAGTATAAAATACTATGTATAATATAGGTATTTTTTACCGTGTTTGTTTCACGACATGTATATATCAATGATTAACTTACGCGAATTGTATTCCTTCCACTCGTGAGCTCACTCAAAAGAGTGTCCAGGCCTTGTGACCCTGGATGGGAAAAAAACATGTCGTGAAACAAACACGGTAAAAAATACCTATATTATACATAGTATCCAGGTGATCTCGTGTTCGTATTTTAGCCAATCAGCGCTCAGAAAGGGTTGTCCGAATAGAAATCCATTTTGATGTATTGAGTCAATTATATCTTTCGTTATTCTTTATGAAACTAGTTGAAATTTTGTAATTATGTTTGGTTATGAGAACTATAGCTCTGACAAAAATATGGAATCGAAATAAAGTATATTACAGGAGATATTCAGTTGTTTTAATCATCAAATGGATTTCTATTTGACAACTAGTGCCAGTACTTTTCTGCGTATCAAGATCATCTGGATTTTATACTAAATCATATTAAGCTCTCTTTCAAATACGAAGGGGTGGGTGAGGAGTCTATTTAGGATTGAGCACTTTTTGGCTATATCGCTGTTAACTCGAGCATTACGCAGTAAACTCGAATGCGACAAGAGAAACAAACTCTTTCAAAAATATCTTTAATATATATACAGGGTGTATAAAAAAAAGCGCAATCCTCGACTGAAATGTAAATTGCTAAACAAATAATAGACGAAAACGTTAAAGTTTACATTCATTTTAAAGCGTAGCCATTCAGCTTTCTAACAGTGGGTTGTTTCTTAAATTTGACTTATTGGTTCGCGGATAATAATACTTTACGTTATTGCGATTGGAGATTAAAAAAATTGAGATGGGATAACAAATCGTTCTCATGAAAATAACTGATTTTTTCATTAAAACAAAAAAATGTTGCATTTTATTAAATGGATTGTAACAATAAGTATAATTACGGCTTTTCTTCCACTATTTTTTAACTCAGTTTGAAACTTCAAATGCGATATAATTTTGGATTGGACCTGCATCTAAGCTGACTGACATCAACTTGCTATAATTTCTGTTTACATTACATCGCAATTCGATGACACTTTGGCTCAGACACCAGAATGTTTTGACGATTTTTAGCATTCGTTTAGGATTTTCAAACAACCTGGTCTCTTTTAAAATACTTTTAATTTGTTCTTACGTGGTTTTCCAGATGTTTATAGTGACGACAACATTAAAGTTTAAAGAAGAAAATTCTAACATTTAAACCGACTAAACAATAACATAGTAAACTTGCATAATTAAACAGCAACTAATAATGATAGGTTTTACTAAATCTTTTCCTGTGCAATTATTACTAGCATTGGAGACAAGGATAATAGTTTGTTTGAAAGAGAAAAGAACAGGCTTTGAAGTAAGCCTAAAAGCGTTTAACTAGAAATAGTATTTCGAAAGTTATTAAGCACAAAAGATGAATTGCGTTTATTTTGATACACCCTGTATAAACATGACTACTGACATTTACCCGACAAACTTAATGTTTGCCCTCGCGGCAGAAATAATTTTGTTTTACCGTGAATCTCAATGTTACCCGAGAGGAAGTGGAAGCCGAGGGCCCGAGGGAAACGTCGAGATTTGGAGACGAAGACGTACTTGACAATTTTTGCCTTTTGCACATTATCCTGCGCGTACTGAATTTGGGGACACTACAGTTGGTGGTTGATCAACATGTCTTTAAAATGGCGAGATATGAAATAAATTATATCCTATCTTTGTTCTTCTACCTTCGTTCGCGACGAATTTTGCCAAAATATTCGTTCTGAACAAAGGCAGAAGAACGAAGACGGGATATGCATGGATTCATGTTTCGCTGGTTTTTCCTGGTTCTGAGTAAGGATTATTAGGATCAGTATTCATATAAATAGCGACGCATAAATCTATAACAGGAAGACACGTTGAGCAACCGCCGATGAACCCACACTCAGTATGCGCAATATAACGTGCAGAAGGCAAAAATTGTCACGTACACGTCTTCGTATTTCGTTGTGTCTTGCTCAAACTCTTTAAAATGGAATCACAACACTTATATACTGTAACAATGAAATGTTTTTTTCAAGGGGAATATCCAGGACCTTTGAACCCAAATGAGCCATTGTATCAGTCGTCGCCATTCCTTATTGAGCACAACCCTACTCCAAGTGGGGCGTTTGCAGGCAAGCCGTATGCGTATGGCGTCCTGATTGACAACACATCTCAGACGTTCATAAATCTACGTCAAGGTGAGTCACCTTCCAACATAATCTTCAAAGGCAAGTGTATGGATCTGAAGCCCGTAATCAAATGAGACCTTAGTTAGCTGTTCTTAATGCTTTCCCATTAACACTATTATGTATTCTATTAAGTTAAAACATAGTTGGAACATTCTTGAAATATTTATTTTGTTAACCTAGAGCTTGAGTTGTCCCCGCCCTTACCAATGCGTAAATGCCAACTCTTATCAACGCTCACGGCTTCATTTGACCGAGGCTTTATTTTTTCTTTCTTTAATTTATCCAAATAACAATTATGTAAATTTACTTCCAAAGGTAACCAGTACTATTTTGGATCGCTCCACGGGGAGTTGGATTACTACTTTTTCGTTGGAGATCACGTGGCGCACGTTCTTAACGAGCTCACGCAACTCACTGGCCGCACGCTTCTCAAGCCAAAGTACGTGTTTGGCTACCATCAGGGGGGTTATGGACCAAATTATAACAACAAATGGAGTCTGCTGCAAGTTGCGCTGCAGTATCGTGAGGCAAAGATCCCATGTGATGGCATGCATGTTGACGTCGATTTTCAGAATAATTACCGCACATTCACGCACAGTCCGACCAAGTTTCCAAATCCGAAGGAGTTTTTCAATGCCTTGCACGATTGGGGATACAAGGTATGGAAATATGTCGTCTAATATGTCTTCATATGTTTTGGAGAAATTTCACTGTCTTAACTGACTTTGTAGTTTGTGTAAAGGCTGATTTACAGTTTACACTACACAACTTTTGTCTAAAACTGTCGTATGCAACCTGCTTACAACTTGAGTTGTACTGTGTGAATCAAGCAGTCACATAAAACTAGCTCTTATAATTGTGGTGTCGTGATCACCACGCCTGCCTTTCAATCTGGGAGACCCGAGTTCAATCGTCCTTGATCGCACCTCTATTCAGGGTTGTGAAATAATTGAGGAGAAACTGCCACCTTAACAACATCACCATCGACAGAGCATGTTCACGAACCGTAAATCATTTTCACGAACCGTACGGTCCGTAAAGCCATTTTACAGTTCATACGGACCGTATACGATCCGTACGGATCGACAAACTTTTATGCCCTGACTTAAACACAACTCTTTACGGATCGACAAAGTAGGTTCACGATACGAACCGCACGGTTCGTACGGTAAGTAAAGCCATTTCACAGTCCGTACGGACCGTACGGATTGTGCAATGTTTTACCATCTTTACGATCCGTATACGTTCGACAGTATTGGACAACCATCAGACTTTCGCGTCTTCTCGCATAAAGACGTTGAAATCGTAGGTACCTCGGATCCCCTATCAATTGAGCAATAGCCTGTTGGGAAATCTGCTCACCAATGAGAGAGAAACTCAATAATAAATAATATAAGCAACTTTTTTAAATATACTGGAAGTGCGACCAGGATTGAACATAATGATTCTTGAGACGTTCTCTGGTTGGAAATTTCCAACCAGAGAATTACGTCTCAAAAATCATTAATAAGCAACTCACCTACGACAACGTAGGCACATACGTTAAGACAGACTACCTACACTGGTATACAGACAGTTTTAGTACATACGTTAAGGGGCAATCTTAAGGAATCAATAGACCTTTCCCCTTGTGAGTGAAATTTTGATCTAGACATGCCTGCAGGGCAAAAATTTCATCACAGCTTGAAAGAGCATCACAACATTTATTATAGTAATATTCCGAAGTTTCATTGCGAAATGTTGTAAAATGCGGATAATATAGCCTTGCGAAGTTTGCCATTTTTCAGTCATTTTGCAATACAATCTAACATTTTGCATCAGATGATCAAACTGATGCAAAATGTTAGATTTTAATACCAAATGACTGAAAAACGGCAAACTTCGCAAGGATATATATTAAGTCCGCATTTTACAACATTTCGCAACGAAACTTCTGAATATTACTAATTTTGTGATGCTCTTTCAAGCTGTGATGAAATTTTTGTCCAGACTTGTCTAGATCAAAATTTCACTCAAAAGGGGAAAGGTCTATTATATAATAATTCGTTGTCTGTCATATCAGACATGTAACATAAATTATACAGTCAAGTATGCTTTGTTGTTCCATATAATAGCGCAATGTATAGCTAATATTTGTTTTTACGCACATTTGAGGAACATTTCAGAAAGGCAAATTCAGGATCCGAGGACCTTTAGACACTTCACGCCAGCAACTGAAACGCATTTATTCCGCTCATCTTTAACCCCAACAATAAAGTATGGTCACGTTTCACTATTTTTTTCTTGATTTTGTTAAGATGAGTACCAATATTACTCCGATCATCAGCTGTAATGTGGACGAGAACGGTGAATTCAGCCCATACAACGCCCTAGACAGCGGCAAAGCCTCAAAGATGCTGGTCGTGAATCAACGTGAGGGACAACCTCCCGCCCTCGATGCAAACGGAAATGAGGAGTTTTTTATCGGGAATGTGAATTACGGGAGGGGGATGTTGACTTGGGGTCATTATCCGGATCTTGGTCGACCGGAAGTTCAAAAGTGGTGGGGAGACCAATACAAGGTGAGTACACCGCACAGTCATTAAGGTTACAGAACACCTTTGAGTGTTAATTTCAGTGCCAAAAATTTTTTTATTGGTTTCAATGAAAGCATTAGACTAGTTCTACTATCTGACCAAGTTTGAACGAAAAATGTTGAAAACTCGCAGAGTTATTTAATAAAATACATTTCGCTGCAATAAGAAAAACATTGAAAATTTAATATTCAAATTCAATTTTCTGCCGAAAAATTTTACGGTAATTACTGATTTTCAAACGAGTTGTGCTCCTGCGGGTTTTAACCAATTTTTCTCAAATTTTCACAGGACATAGCTAAATACGTCAGCTTCAAAATAGTGTTCGGCTTTTTTTTTATTTTGGATATTTTAAAAATAAAGAGCAATTCACTCAAGCGATTCAGAAATATATTGCAGTCGTCAAAGAAATCGCCATATCAACGGAATGACGAAATAAACAAAAATTTCCGAACACAATTTTTTTAGAACAACTATCTTACTGTATAAAAATGATATTTTCATAAATATAACTTAAAACCAGCAGGAGCACAACTCAAAAGCGTAAAGGTACCGCGATTTAAGATTTTCCTGAATAATTCTTACATTATTTTATTGTTTGTTAATTTTACAACTTTACCATATTTTACATGCACTGGAGAACATTTGATGAAAATCGGACTGATATTGAGCGCGCAGTAGCGATTTTCCGCAAAACGCCAAAAAGGGTGTCCTGTAACCTTAAGAATTTAGGAGCAAAACCAGAATGGAGTGACTGGTGCAGCCAGATTCGCAGTATCACAGTTAGCCTGAGTATATCGCAGTGTGACTGTGAGCTAGTATATTGATAGATAACTGTCTTATGAGTTATGTGTTCCCCAGTTCATAGTAAAACAGAATGTTGACTTTGTGACAGACAAAATGGACCAAATGACTTGTGGACTTGCAAGAAATGACGTCTGACTTGGATTTTCAAAATAAGACTTGGTAACAGCTCTGCTCAAAACTAACGAGTACAATATACCACGTTTGAGCATTTTTAGCGCCTTATCGTTAAGATCATTCCGCTAAAATGAAGAGGTTTTCGACTGTTCGCCATGTTGCGTACCGTCGGTACCGAGAGTTTTTTTGCTGTTACGTTTCGCTAATGTTTCTGTAAATATGGCTGAAATCTAGGGACACCGGAACGATGTGAAGGCAAGGGGGGGGGGGCAGATTTTCGTGAACGGGCACTTTTGAATTGATATGCAACTATTTCAATTAAGGTTGTCCACGAGCAAAGCGGAAAAATACGAGCACGAAAGGCTGCTGGGAATCGCTACTAAATTAATGAATTTTCAAAGCGATTCCCAGCAGCCTTTCGTGCTCGTATTCGACTTTTCTGCTTTGTTCGTAGACAACGTTAATTGAAATAGCTGTATATATACTAAGAGATGTTTGCAAAACATCGGGAGTTGAACTTCGCCTAATCATGTTTTCTATTTATTGGATGATAGGGGTGTGAGGGGGTTCTCCGCCAGGCGATTGTGCTATTCTTGAAGCTCGATGATGACTGCATTTCTTGCGTTTTCTGAAGCAAATTCGTAAAAGAATTGCACTAACATTTCTGACAATTCGCTATTTCGCCAAGGCAATCCTTTAAATTGAAAAGGCACCTTTGCCCCCGTTGCCCCTCCTGGATAAAGGGCAACAGGGGCGGCTGCCCCTCCTGCCCCCCCCCCCAGTTCCAGCGTCCCTGCTGAAATCAATCAAGCTGAAAGCTGCCAATTGTTGGATTATCCAAACGAGAACGGTCAATCAAAAGCTGCATTGACTGAGCAGCTACTGAGCTCTGCTAGAAAACACTTAACAAACGACGACTAGTATCCAAAGCCAGACTCGTGTATAAGATTTATTCATGTATAAAATTATTCATGGTTTTGCTCCTGCGTTGCTTACTGAAATATTTTCCAGTGCTTCATTTGTCAGACCTCAAAACGGAATATTTAAAAAAGTCGGGTTACAGAGGTGCCAAATTATGCAACAATTTATCAGTTGAAGTTAGAAACGCTGAGAGTTAGCAAGTTTCAATTCGCTTCTTTGTAATATACTTAGTTCCGAATAAGTAAGTGGTTCCGAATATTTGAAAAACATAGAAAAATATTAAAGTTAAATGTCATTGAAAATTGAAAATTCGCGTCACTTTGCCAAACCGCGTCCGGTCTGTATGGGCGTTTAGTGTGTGTAAATAAAGTTTATCATACTTTAGCCACGAGTCGAGGCTTCGTATATAGAAGTATTACAACTTTGCACTAAGTCTCGTTCTCATGGTATGAATTCGGAAATGGCCTATTATCTATTCTCAAGGACCTGCTCGACTGGGGTTTGGACTTCGTATGGCAGGATATGACCACGCCTGCGATGAAAGCAAGTATCCATCAATCCCCCTGTCCACTCCTTTCGTTCCCTATGGATCTCATGATTTCCGATAACGAAGAAACTCGCTACGCGAAGACGGTGAAGTCTGTCGGTAAAAAGCCATTTGCCAAAATCCGCTGTTTGTTCAACTACAACCTCTGCAAGGCAACGCACGTAGGTCTCGACCGTCTTTGCGGTGACCGCCGTAATTTCATCATCGCCCGAGGCGGTTTTATCGGCGTCCATCGTCATGCCGCGCTGTGGACTGGGGACAGTACCTCCAACTGGGAGTTTGTGCAGATCAATATTCCGTTGGTGCTGACGATAGGGTTGTCTGGGCAACCAGTAACCGGCTGCGATATTGGAGGATTTTGTTCTGAATACATGGGTCAGATCGTCGATCCAGAATTGTTAACACGTTGGACCATTCAAGGCGCTTTCTTGCCGTGGTTCAGGAACCATTACGATAACTACGCGAAGCCTTATCAAGAACCGTATAAGTAAGTACAATGCATTGCATAATATCGGGGTTATTTTAAGACATGTATCTACTGTAGAATTGAAAAGCCAACGACAAGATGTTATTTATTTTCTTTATACAGGGTTCGTGCAAAACTTGAAAGTCCTTGAATGTCCTTGAATTTGAAAACAAAAATTTAAGGCCTTGAATGTCCTTGAATTTGTAAAGAAGTACTTGAAAGTCCTTAAATTTTTCTTGCTTTAGTTTTTGGAATTGTTTGATATTCAGAACGGACATTTTGTTGAATTGATTTTGCATGTTCATATCTGACAAAGCAGTTTGAGACTAATTAAAGTTGCGTTTTGAACAGTTCAACGTCGGATTTTACTGATTTTTAACCCCTTTTCTTCAGTATTTAGTCCTTGATTCTTGAATTTGCGGATACATGGCTTTGAATGTCCTTGAAAAGTCCTTGAATTTGACTCTTCCTCACATGTACGAACCCTGTTTATATATATAATAAAATAGCTGAAAAATTAGCTAAACTAAGCTCGAACCGAAACGTTTTGGGGGCTTTGTCTTTGAAGGGGGACGTGGATGTGATTCATGATCTAGACAAATCAATGCACGTTATTTATTTGTGATCTTTATAAAAGAGCTATGATATTGGCTAATTAATTAATTGATATTTGACGTTAAAAATTTCTTTGACTTTTTAATGATTGGACAGCAAAAGTTTTACCAAGAAAAATATTTCTCTTCGCTACCACCCCGCCATAAATAAAGATCGATCCCTAAGAGCCAATGAAAAGCCAGATTGAATTCAGATTATTATATGACATAATCTTGATGAATCTTCACAATCATGAAAACGACGTTGACGATTCGTATTGTAAAACTCATTAATATATAATCTTTCCTTTTTTGAAGGTACGGCGAACCAGTACCAAGCATTTGCCGAAAGTACATCGAGTTACGTTATCGTCTCATCCAGGTTTTCTACGATGCCATGTACGAAAACACTCAAACGGGCAAACCGATTTGTCGCCCGTTGTTCATGGATGAGATTCAGCCAGGTATGCAATATTCTTCTCGCCAATTTTTCTATTCTAACAACATGAATTTTAGTACAATTTTAATCCTACTTCTTAGCGTACCTCGTTAATAACTAACATATCATGGGTTAACATAGGCGTACCGGGCGGGGGGGCGGGGGGGGCGGTAGCCTCCCCAGTTTCTTGGGCAGTCGGGCAATATTCGATCAACAGTCGGGCAATTTTGGTTTGAAATTAAAAAAATGGGACAAATTCAGTGAATTTTGTCTAAAATTAAGTAAATTTTTTGGCAAATTTTTAGATTTTTCTAAAATTTGTGTTATGTTCGGAAAAATATTGGTTGTCCGGAAAAATTTTTTGACCCCTAAAATGGTACACTGACCGAAATTTTTTTGGCGACGGGGGGGGGGAGGGGGGGGAGGTCGCCAAAATATTTTTTCAGGGAAAAATTTTTTTGGTATTAGTCGGGCGGAATTCTGAAAAGTCGGGCAATTTTCTTTCCGCCCCCCTAATTTTTTCCTTCCGGTACGCCCATGCATGGGTAGTTGGAAAATTGGTGTCGCCACCTTAAGTGTACTCCTATATGTATAGCCTATCGAAGGGAAGCTCATTAGAATAACAATATCAAACTCATTACCTATGTTGGTCAACGGTACTTGTACATAAATCTGGTCCTTCACCATCACGTGTGTATTGTATTTTTTCCAAATCCACCAATAGTAATTTTCAGTTAATTTCCCTATCGTTCGAATCACGGATAGATAAATTTCCTAAAATATTGCTATCGGTTAGTTGGGCAAAACTACGATGCACGCGTGATGGTAGTGAATTGGACCAGATTTATGAATCAACGTTGACTAACATATAGATAATGAGTTATATTGTTATTCTAATGAGTTTCACAGCCATCTTCCCTTCGATACTAGGTTATGGTGTACTTAAGTGTTCCTAAAAGGCAAACGGCTGCATTGGTTTATCTTAACCGGTCAACTATCAATATATTGTCATGATATGATATTTCTGAAACTTCTATTAAATATATTTAACCCAGCATAAGTATACCAAACAATATAGTCGGAGAGAGGGGTGGAGGTTAATTTAATCCCTAGATAGCGAATAAAACATACTTCATTGTGTGCTTCGAGATTTCCCGCCTAAAAGCAACTTTCCTAATATAGCTTCCGACTTTTTCGGTAAAATTTAAATGTTCAATTTTGTCTATATATGCATTTCAAGTGATATAGTTATGTTTTTCACGGTCATTTGTCCATGTGATTTCATCGATTTTATGCGCATTAATATGATTGCTTGCGTGCATTTTATACGTCTTTTCAACATAAACTACTACAACATTTCGGGAAACTATACCTTACAATTTGAAAACATCTTAAGTTTTGGACTTTTAAGTCTAGTTTCCTCCTTCTATAATGGTCAATACTTCGAGTGTATATACTAAAACAATTAGACAACTCGGCCTCGTTGTCTATCGCGAATAGCCAATTTGGGCTACGCCTTCGTCGATTATTCATTCGTGGCAACTAGGCCTCGTTGCCTAATTGTTAAATTATTATCAAATGGTACAATCTACTACAGGTGTCTTTAACTACGATGCCGCCTGCGACGACGATCACACTTGGGGTTGGGTGGATGGTTATACGGCCAACCGTCTCGACGACCAGTTCTTCGTCGGTCGAGACTTCCTCGTGTGTCCGATTGTCAACCCGGGTCAAACGCATCGTCCTGTGTACCTTCCAAAGGATAGCTTTTGGTACAATTTCAAAGACAACAAAGCTCCACTTGACGCCCCAGTGGCTGGTGGTGTCGAGTTTTCATTCTACGCTCCTTGGGACAAGCCTGGCATGGAAAACGTCGCCATCTATGTCCGAGAAGGTATGTATTGTTATGGTTTATTTACAGCATTCACACGAAGCACATTCTATTTTCGAATTCGCCTAACCAGGAATTTTGTTTGGTTTAACCATGGTAATTAGCCATTCCGAAGTTGATGAGTGGACTGGGGACGAGTGTTAAAAAGTGCCCAAATTAAGAAATGAACCGCATCATTAAAAAGACCACCTCAAGATTAGTAAGCATACGAAGCTTGAAGATGTTTACATGAATATCTTTCGAATAATAAGCTTTAAATTTCAAAAATTGTGAAATTACTAATTAAAACACTGTTTTTGGGACGCGAGCATTCTTGGTCCCAGGGCCTCACGGCTGAGTGGGATGGGACCACTGATGGATGGGACGCGTGTTCCCAAAAACAAAATTACAGTACATTTCGTAGTAAATATCGCGTTTTTCGAAAGCTTATTATTCGAAGGGTATTGATGTAAACGTCTTCAAACTTTGTATACTTACTAATTTTGAGGTGTTTTTTTTTTGGTAATCGTTCCATCTTTCGCGCACCAATATAGTAAACGTTATGTAATGGATATTATAGTGTACTGAAAAGTTAACTGGATACCTCCATACACATATATACACACCCTAACCCTAACCTTAAACCTAACCCTAACCCCTAGCCTAACCTTAACCTAACCCCTAATACCTAACCCCTAACCCCTAACCTATATTGGTGCGCGAAACATGGAACGATAATCGTTTTTTTATTGATTTGGTTCATTTCTTAATTTGGGCACTTTTTAACACTCGTCCCAGTCTTCTCATCAACTTCGGGATGGCTAAATTACAGTAACTTTACTACGTTTTTCTTCCATTTCCCTATATTTTTCGCATTCAAGTACTGTAGCCATACATAGTGAGATACAAAATGGTTCAGTCATTAATCTTTTCAATTACCTGCCGGTGCCACGGCAAAGTATTCGATGTAAATGCTGTTTGTCTTTGTTTTAGTGTTTTCACTTTCTTAATCAAAAACTTGGCCTCCCAAAAACTACTGTTGATATAATTGAAAATTGTGACGCATATTTCTGCCTGATGCTTAATATGTTCCCTGAAAGTGCCCAACAATATTTAGATATTCCATCGTGGAGTGGCATGGTTGTTACTTATTAACGTAAATAGCCAAATTCATAATGAACAAATCGGCTATTTCTAGGTGCTATCATCCCAATGAGAGAACTGGAGCAATACATTGGAGAGTTGTACTCCCAAGGGAAAGAGAATCCGATAACATTCTGTATTTATCCCGGGAGGGACAACAAGTACACCCTGTACTTGGATGACGACGGCAAGACGCGTAACGCGGAAACCAAGCAGATTTATCGTGTCACCGAAATCAGTCACGAGGGGATCGAGAGCGGGCAGCGTGTGCGCGTGAAAAGGTCGCATGACAAGTTTAAACCACCCGAGACCTTCTACTATGTAGCGTTGCTGGGAACAACAGCACCGAAAAGCGTCAAAGTTGCTGGAATAGCCCTATCAAGGAAGACGGGAGACAGCGATGACGCAGCTGCAAATGCTCTGGCAGGGTCTAAAACTGATACCTTTTACCATAACGGATTCCTCAAGACCACCTACATCAAGGTATTTGATCAAAAAGCTGATGTCACCATCGACGCTAAGTTTTGAAGGCATTAATTAAACTATTGACTGAACTTTGAATACTGTTGAAGTTACTAGTAGTGTGAATTTAAGAGGACTCAGTTGAGTAGAAATTAAAATTTAAATAGCATTGAATTTTTACACCTGCTTAAAACGAATGTTTTCATCTTCCAATTAATAATTCCTTTTGGATGAAATAGGTTAATAGACTCAGCCGCTGTTGTGGCAACCTTTTGAGGTTAAAAACGACAGATCTGCTCGATCATTTCCAGAACTGTTCAAGAAATGCGAAGGTAGTAGAATACTAGAATTTCTGCTTGCGCGCCCGACAATGCCCGACTCATACTCACTCGTACGACGATCAATACACCTATACACATTTACATCACGAGTAGAATCTCAAGAAAAAAATAAAGTTATGGCTACAAAAAATCCTCCAATTGTTTAGGGGCTGATTACATGGAGAGTTTTCAGCCCGGGCTGAAAACGAGGGCGCTTTCCATTCACTCGGCCAGATTGGTCAAATTGTCGAATGAAACACAAAACATTTGAGCTTCGGACCTTTCTGACCGGAAAATTTGGATCAAATTAGAAGGAGGCCCATTTTCGCTAGGGTTTCGAGAGACGTGGGACAGATCTTTCCCGATTAATACCGAGACAAAAATTCTGGTCTAGGCAGGACGTGTGTCGTGTGACTGCCTCCTTCCAGGGTTCCCACGGTCCTTGAAAATCCTGGAAAGTCCTTGAATATATTTGTTAAAAAAAATCTAGGCCTGGAAAATCCTTGGAAACTGATAAGGTCCTTGAAAGTCCTGGAATTTTTTTTCAGTAGGCTGGAAATAATTGAAGAATTATTACCAGCCCAAGGATTATTGCCCTAATGTTTATTTCCTCCAATTTCAATTAAAATTATATATAACAATTGTCCAAAAGTTGTTTCGATGTCATTTTTTTGTAATTGCATTCCTCTCGTTAAGTTTAAGGATAAAAGTTAGATGATTTTCAAAGATTTTTCCAGTTGCCAGGTTTTTGAATATACTGTAAAAGGTCCTTGAAAGTCCTGGAAAAGTCCTTGAATTTCATCTTCAAATTAGGGGGCCGATTACATGGAGGTTTTCAGCCCGGGATGAAATTTCAGCCCGGCAAATCGGGATGAAATTTCAGCCCGGGGCCCCTATAAATTCAATATAAAATGAATTTTACGATTACATGGAAAAAATTTCAACCCGGGCTGCATTTCAGCCTGGGTTGAAATTTTCATCCCGGTTTATGTCACCCGCGGGATGAGATTTTCAGCCTTGTCAACCGGGATGAAATATCCCATGTAATCGCAAATAATTTCAGCCCGGGCTAAAAAAAACAATCGTTTAAATGGCTTTATTTTGCGTTTCGTCTCATCTTTAATACTTTATATGCAACCACAGTCTTACACAAGTCAAATAGTCGACTAATCGGTGTTTTAAGTGCTCAAACAATACTTTCGTGATATCGTATGATTTCAGCCCGGGATGACATTTCAGCCCGGGTTTGTTTACTACAAGGGATAAATATAGCTCTGACTAAAACTCAGCCCGGGTTCAAATTGCTCATGTAATCGTGATGCTATTTCAGCTCGGTTAACCAGGCTGAAATTCAGCCCGGGCTGAAAACTCTCCATGTAATCGGCCCCTAAAAGGTGGTGACCCTGTCCTTCGCAGGCCCTCGTTGCGTCATGGAACGGACGTGTGATGCGGCAGTGACCTGGGGCGAGCCTGTTTTGGCGCGAAAATCCAAGCAATATTAACAAGATATTTTCAGTTTTGGCGATTTCGCCGATTTGCCCTTGTTTCTTTAATACTGCCAGGTTTGTGAGAAGAAAATTTTTAGGTTTAAAAGTAAACTATTGCTTTTCCTATGGATTCAATATATTTTTGGTGCAGAAACTGTTGCGAAAACACCTTGGAATGTGAGTACGGTACTGAGTAACTCAGCATATCTTTTTATATGAAGTTTGGTTTCAGTCAGAGGCTTTTCTTGATGCTAAAGGTCTTTCAGTGTGTTTACACCCGTTTGATAACACAATTGCAGATAATGAACTGCAGAAAGGTTATGTATTATTTTCGATAACATTTTAGCCAATCTTAGTGATCTTTCATAAAAGCTTTCTTTTAAAGGTTTAAACTTTAATTAGGATATTCACTATGGAGTGTATGGATGGAAATTATCGAGTGGAAATGTTATATTTTCCAGACTTATCATTTACAATAGATTGTGATTTTGTTGTAAAAAGCTTGTGTTTACTACTTTGCAAGCTGACATGCATAACGCACCAGTTAATGTATATAGCGTCGACCAACCACTGAAAAAAGCGAGACAATGCCCCGCCCCAGGCCAAAGAACCTTTAAGAACGTACAAATGTCCGGCCCCAGGTACACATAGAAAATGTACCACTTAGGAGCTAGGGGAGGGTAGAAAAATTTGTTTCTGATCATAGTACATTTTGTATATTGATTAGGACTCCAGAGGAGGTTAACTTCCATTGGAAGTCTTCCAATTCAATTTCCTATGTGGGGGAGATATGGATGTTTTCTGGAATGACCCAATGGCCAGGCAGTTACCAATTCCCCATCCCCAGGGTATCTTTGCAAGTACTAATAGTAATGCCCCCAGGCAAAATAAGCTTGCAATTTCCCAGGTGTGTCCTGGGATGGCTAATGCTAGAATTATTGACTCTTGCACAACACTTGGGCCTTGGCGTTGCTGAACGGGTTCTGAAATTTGCAGTATCCCAACATCCACACGATACTAGAATTTGGTGTTGTAAAACACACTGCGAATGATCGGACTTGTATCCTGACTGGTTACTAGTATGAGAACATTTCAAACAAGAAAATATTAAATGTTGGATGATCTCCCAATAGCTTTTGAACTAAATAGAGGTTTGTTGAAGGATTATGCACATTTTAGTGTATTTAAATCATTGTCTATAAATTGTTGACTGCTGAGTCTCCCAAGAGTGAGAGTCATGGAAGCATATTTGGATGGATCAGTCAAATTATAATACTTATGGTAACCAGTGTCCAGAAGTGGGATACTGGATTCTCTGAGGGGGATACTAAAACTTTGAATCCTGGTATGCCAGTTGGATATTGAGAAATTTCGGACCCTGTTTAGACTGTGTTGCTGAGGTTAGTATATTTAGCTTCTATTGGAAATTTCTAATGCTCTCTTAATTTTGTCTGTTTTGATAATTATCTCATGAATATTTCATTGGATTGGCCTGGGAGCATTGTGCTCATTAATCAATATGAAAGGCTAGTTGTTCACGACTTCAGAGAATGAGACTTTGGGCCAAGAACAGATATATGTTCGACAAAATTATCAAAAGGGTGTATTGGCAATGTTGTGTGGCATTTGCATTTTATGTCCAGGAAAACAGCTTTAAAGGGGACATTACCAGAATAATATTGAATATAATTATTGTATATTTTATTCCAATAAGTTTCCTTCTCGTGTGCCAGAACTATAGTAGACAACTTTATGAAATATAAAACAAAAGCTGATATATGAGAACATGTATATTCTCATTCTCATTTTAAGCTTTTGTTTTACATTTTGTTAATAATATATTACTGAATACTGGTAACAGAGTATGTTTTTACACAGTTTTTTAAAACATAGTAAAATTTTTAGCCAAATTATTGTAGATATTTAATACAGGTAAAATACTATGTTACTTAGTAAATACAAATCCGGTTCAAATTGGAGGTTTGTCAGTTTACTGTAATTAATAATTTGTTAAATTTGATCACTGAGAGAGAAATTATTTTCCAGTTCCATAGTTCGCACCTCCAGCTTTCTTCACAGCTTCCTCGATTTTCTCTTTAGCCAGTTCACCTTTCTCATCACAAAGCATCTCATATGCAAAATTCTGGAAACCAGAAAAAATACATGGTGTAAAAACCCATTGTGAGTGGCAGCACCTCCCCTTGACGAGCAAATTTGTCTGGCTTTAGACAGTAAAATAATAAAGTGAGACTCATGGAACTTAATGGTTAACTTAAGACACAATTTGAGTGGATAGTGTGAATAACCCATTGAGCTCCAACGCTGTATCCCCTTGACAAGTAAAATCGTCTGGTGCTAGACAGAGTAAAATAATAAATTAGGGTGCAATAATGCAACTTGATGGGTTAAATTACACGATGGACACATGATGCAAAAATTTCTATAATCTAAAACAAAAGGAAAATTTACTTAATTAAATTGTAGATTTTGGCCTGATTGCATGGTGTGCATTGTAGATGGAAATTTTGTGTGTTAAAGTTTTATACATCTATTTAGATCTAACCAGGAACAGCTGTGAAATATGCAACAATAGGCCAACTGACATAAATTGAACCTGTGGTCCTGCAATTATGGTGCATGCAGGGCTATAGCTCTAAGCGAGTCCGGTGATGCCAAGGTAAGGCATGGTAATGTCCATTATTGGACATACTATCATACCTGCATGACATTGTTTTAAATAAACAGACTTGTATGTAAATATATAAATATTACACAATATGTGTCAGCGGCGGCGGAACAGATTTCGTTCTGGGGGGGCTAAATTTTTTCGGCGAAATCCCCCCCTTCCCCCCCTCTGTCGCCAAAAAAATTTCGGTCAGTGTACCACTTTAGGGGTACAATATACAAAAAAAGGGACGAAAAAAATTTTTTCGTACTTATATCAAAATTTTTTCTTCGGAAATACACTTTTTTTAAACAAAATATTGCAAATTTGTCCCCTTATACCTAAATTTTCAAAAAATAACCTAAATTTTTCCCTAATTATCAAATTTTTTTCAAAAAATTCAAATTTTCTGGGGGGGCTAAGCCCCCCCACTTTTACTTCTGGGGGGGCTTTAGTCCCCCTAGGCCCCCTGTTCCGCCGCCCCTGATATGTGTGTTTAAAGGTACATTCCAGTAATTCCTTCTTGAGTAAAATTGCCCAGCATTAGAAAGAACAAAACAACAAAATAGGGTATATATAGTATTCTAACCAATATTATGCAATTCAATCAAAGTCACAATTAACTAGACACCTGGGCAAATGGTGTGAATTTAATAATTTATAACCCCATTGAGCACCAACGTGGCAACGTCATTGACTAAAATTGTCTGGCATTAGTCAGAGTAAAATAACAAAGTAGATGCAATCACCATTAAGTTGCAATGTGCCCAAATGCACCCTTAAGAGTGCTGGTGCTCTGAATACCAAACCATTTGCCAATGTGTTTTACTCTATCTAACACCAGATGATTTTACTAATCAAGGGGAGACTCTTGTGCTTTAATGGTTATTAACTTGGATAATGAGACATCAGACGGTGAATGTTGCCCGAAAGTTCTATATAAATATTAGTTACAGAATTAAATAACACCAATATTTGACAACAACAATTATAAAACTATACTTTTTAAAGTGTGTATTACTGTAATTGAGAGACTCCCATGCTTATCTGAAGCAATTTTTAAATAAAAAACACGCTGGCAATGTTTGTCAACCTGCCTACAATCACGCTACAATATAGCAAATGCGACAAAAACGCCTGTTGAAAGCTTAATTATGTTTATGTATTGCACAGGTTATTGTGTGTATTGTGAATATTATTGTATACAGTATAAAGCCAATTAACGTACATTAACATCAAATAACATGACTAAATATGGTCTTTGATTACTATAAATGCATTGAAAACAGACTTGTAAAGCGGTAATAACGGTTAAGTTATTCTATTTGATAGGCATCTTTTCCTGATGAAATACCACAAAATATCCACACCCTGCAAATTTCCAATATGATTCATATTAAATAACCGGAAGTTAGGGAAAACCCATATCACACAAACTATGCTGTCGATTTCAATTCGGGGTTTTCACTTAGTGTATTAAACTTGTATAATTAATCATATATATGTTATCTAAATCTATGGGTAAACAATACTAAATATCACTTGGAATTCTATATTTACAAAATTCATCAAAGCACTTAAAATTTGCATCAACAAACAGACTTAAAACCTGTAAAATATAGGACCAATATGTGCCTCAATATTTCAGCTTAGCATAATTTTTCGAGCGATTTTGAATTCGAAATTTTGTGCTGTTTGTTTATACATTGTCATTGTTATAAAATATTCACTTGCGGTTTCCTTTAATAGCGACGTAGGACGCTTTACAAATAGCTAAAGCGGCCAAATGGAATATTTATTTAAGCTCGAAGAATATCTACATATATGGGCATGGATTTTACGCATATTGTGTTATTTACCCTTACCGGACATGCTTCTTTGAGAAACGCTTTATCTGTACTGACTTTGGCCTTTTTCAGAGCTGAGACGCCGGGTCCTATCCACGTTATCAGAGCGAATTTTGCCCGTTTGCTCATCTCGTCACCAGTTTCGATGCGAACGTACGCGTAAATTCGATTATCCTCTACAGAATGCAAGGGAAAATATTGTTTACTTTTGGGATGTCCAAGTAAGTTCGGTTTCATGATGGGGGGAAATCCGTGCTCTTAATACGTCCGTGCATAAAAACGACTATATGAAAAATACCTTCACACATGCTTAGAAAATCATCATAATTCTCCCCACAGTCACCCGTGTAGACGATTCTCTTATCATCATATTTGAAAACAGCCCTGTTGTATAAAATAAACATAAATATTAAGAAAGATGTTTAACCCCTCCCATGTCTAATGTACACATTTCCGTTTCTGACTGCATTTTGCAATAGCGATACATCTTAGCCTAAAATACACTACACTGTGAACTTCGCGTGAGCTTAAACACCAAAATAGGCCAAGAGAACAGCTTTCTTAACAGTTTCGCCACGCAAAGCGACACCCAGTAATTATAAACCCAGCCTCAAACAGATGTATACATAAACAGGCACTAGCGTGCATCAAAACGCCGGTTAATTTGCTAAAGAACGCGTTCTTGACATGTCTGGTTTAACGACGGTCGCCTCTTGCGCGAGTGTCTGAGGTTTGACTTACCAAACGGTCGCCGAGGAATCGTTTCTTACGTCTTCGTAAGCTGCGCGGATGGCGTCCGAATCGATGTTCGCCATTTCTGTGAAAAAGGTGTTTCCTTTCCTATGACAAACGAGCAATGTGTTGTGTGACTGTCGCCGCGCGAGCCAGACAGCTATTTATGACGTCACTGATTTTCCGCAGGAAGTTTGTGGAATGACACTGAAATCGAATCGATTTTCAGTTCTAGAAGGAAATGACTGAAGTCATTGAGGTTTTTTATTGTCATTTGAAACAATTTGAAGTAATATTTAAGAAAAGACGACCTAGCTTACAGTGTGAAAAATTCCAATTCTAAAATGCCATATAAAATACATATATCAGAATTGCGATCGAAATGAGGTGGGGTGGAGGTTGGGTGAGTATTATGATTGTTAATAAGGATTAGGATTAGCCTCCTCCACAGGCATCGCCTTTTATAGCGGGCAAAAACTGTTCAGTAGTACGAGCGTGGAGTTGTCCCGCAGGCTCTGTGCACACCCGCAATCCCATCCCTAAATTTCGGCCCGCGCTTTTTGACTGATCACTGATCGAAGCCGACTGTAGCAGAATTTTTAGACCTGATAAATTTAGTCTTGAAACTTATGAGACTTTAAAACAGCAAAAATCTTTCATTAATAGGTAAACCGATGGCTAAAATGTCTATTAAATTTTAAAATAATTTGACAGGAGCTGACTGACTGGTATGCGTAATGGCCTGGGGAAGAGTGTCAAATATAAATTTAGCTCTTAAAAAAACTATTTTTCTTGCTTGAAAAGCATTTTTATTTGATAGAACAATCAATGATAATCAGTAGGATTTGTGTAATAGTTTTGGGAAGTGAAAAAAAAGTTTAGAGCAATTTTAAGGTGGAAAAAATATTCGCAGCCCGATAGGGGACTCGAACCCCTGGCCCTCAGATTAAAAGTCTGATGCTCTACCAACTGAGCTAACCGGGCTCGCACGGCGTGTGTTGTTCATTTATTCAATATATCTGTTTGACGAAAGGGGTCAAAGGAAATATTCGAAGTAAGCTGGGTCACGTGTCTGGTTAATAACAGAAACAGTCCAGTACACGTGAAGTGAAAACGTTTAGAATAAAGTGCAAGAAAATGCATTTAATGTACTATTTTGATGAGCAAGGCAACAGAATTTACACTCTGAAGGTTAGTATTAGTATAAGAATGTTTCTTGCTTGCAGCAAATCGGGCAGACATGCACAAATGTTCAATATAGGTATAACTTTGGTTTGTGAAAATATAGTCTTGTCTCATTAAAATCAGCATGTGTGTTCGACCTTTATATAAGTATCTTTGAAGTTGTTTATGTCTTACTGAGTACTCAGGCTATTTACTGCAATAAAGATCTGATATAATCCTATTACTACCCTGAATAGAACATTTAGGGTATTTTGCAAGTACCGTACAACATGCACCCTTCCGGAAGTTTAACCTGGGTGGAAAGCACCACCAAGCTGCACAATAACAGAAATTTATTAATAATTAGTATTACAAAATAGCTAGCCTGCCGCATGAGATCTCGGGCTAAAGTATCCTACTTTCCAGTGTGGCGAAAGTATGTCACTTTAGCTATAGAGCCACGTCCATATTCATGTTGCCACACATAACATGTTATCACCAGTATACCCATCTCAGATAACGTCATATTTTGACCGCTAAAAGAGCTCAAAATCAAAATGGCAAAGTGCCTCTTATAAAAATAAATATGGTATATAATCGATCAATTTATCTCAAATATGCATTAAATTCTAAGGCTTCATTAAGGCTTCAATTCAAAGTTATTGACTATTGTACTTGCCTTTGTTGGCACCAATTAATGTAGGATCTTTATTATAAAATATGAGAAGTTTTATAGGATGTTTTATTATTATTTTCATACTGAACTATTCGTCTCACAGAAAAATGTCACGATTTGCACAGATGACGGGTATTTGACACGGAAAAAAATGTCGCTTTAATACTTCGACCTTTGTTTTGACCTCTATTAGTTGAAATAATATAATACTGGCAAAAGTTGCAAGGCAAACATTAAATATTTAAACTTCGGTCTGATCGGATGTAAATAGTCAATTTGCCACGAGATAACGTTGAGGAGTTGATGAGTTGAGGAGTTGACCCACCCATAACGTCGGTGTTATGTGTGGCAACATGAATATGGACATGGCCCTTTATATTAAAGCCCAACGTCTCAATCACGAAAGTGAGGCTCTAGTTTATTTTAATGATGTAATGATCAAAATACAGTGCAAAAAAAGGCAAGTCAAGTGCCAAAACATTTGACATTTTGACTTGTGTAAAGTTTTGACTAGCCTACTGTAACTCTGACACTTTATCATCTGACTATAAAATGTGTCAAAGTCACAGATTAGTAATTGATAAATAATTTTCTATCTTATTTTTATAGAAAGTTGATCCAAATGGAAAAACTACCATATCGTCACATCCTGGTAAGTATTTGGTATACATCTACTGTACCATACAATTGAATTAACAAAATAAATTATTATCAGGGCTTGAAATAACAGCCAATCACCGATCAATGATCAGCAAGAAATTGCTTATGATTGGTGGAAAAGCAGGGGAATCAAGTTGCATATTCCATTCTTACATATCGGTTCATAATATGGTTCCCTCAGAACATATTTGTGGGTGTAGAATATGTTTACAGAAAGAATGCAAGGCGGAAGAGGAAGATTTCTACGCTTTCTATACACATATTGTAAAATTATCCATGCAAAGGAACAGTGGTATCTTATTTGTCGTTGGCAGAGATTCAGAGAACTATTGGAAGGTTTTAGAGACAGGCATTAACGTTTTTACGCTGTTGGAGCAAGCAGTACAATTTGATGAAAATTAATTATTGTCTTGTGCACGGGTGGAAAAGGTATCATAAAACCTTTTTCAGTTCCCACAAAAATATTTCCCCAAGAAGAAAGAAAAAAAAATGTAAAAATTTAATAGATAAACTTTGGCGAAATTCAGAGGAAAAATTCTAACTAATAGAAAGAATGTTACCTCAGAAGTCAGAAATGCAATAACTTTATTTTTATAAGTACATCCATCTTAATAGTGCGATAGTGTGTAAATTTGTAGTCTATAGAATAATGTAACAAATGTTGTATGGCAAATGCATTTTTAGCTAGTGTAATTTTCAAAATTTTCTGGGGAAGCATAGGTCCCTAGCTGGTATAGGTCCCTAGCTGGTATTGGTCCCTGGTAGTACGTTTTTTTAGCATCTCTATTTATCTTAGGATCAGACCCTGATGCATGTTATCTGAATACGTTTTATGTTATATTCCTAAAAGTATTATTAAGATTCTCAGTGCACTGAAATTCTGTTAAAATATAGCATGACATTCAGTTTCACGACATCACACAGTTACAGTGTCCGATTGTTAATATTTTCCCCAGCCCTGGGGCCGGTTGTATAAAACTCTTAATCACTTTTTTAATCACTATTTTGTAGTTAAATAGTGATTAACTCTTAAATACGCGCTTCTTATTGGATGACGTTTGCACTTAACCATAGTTAACTTTTTTCACTTTTTTATACAACCGGCCCCAGGTCTTGTGGGGAATCAAGTCGCATATCCCATGCTCACATAGCCACATACTGTATATGTTCTTAGTATGGTTGCCCATATTTGTTAGTGGGCATAGAATACTTGTATGTTTACAGAAAGAATGCAGAAATTGTGTCGCTGGGGCTGAAGAGGAAGATTTCGGAGAGTTTCCTCGCATTCTATACGCAGATTATTGTAAAATCATCGGTGTAAAGGAAACGTAGAAAATCTTTGAAGTACAGTATCTCATTTTGTCGTTGGCAGAGTTGCGTAGAGCCATGCAGGCATTAAACCTACGTTTTCGCGGTGTTGGAGCAAGCAGTAAAATTTGATGAAACATATTACAGTAGTTAGAAGCAAAGTGCTGGGATATGTTGTTTCAAAAAAAATTCTGGAAGCCGTAATCTCGGAAGCATTCTGCAATATCAAGTCATCTACATTTGAACGCCTTGTTAAAGAAAAACGTTCACGTTGTAATGAGTTTTTCGAAGGAGTATTGACAGAAATGGTTGACAGTGAATGTGCAAGACGGAGTATATAACTGTATAAGGAATATTGAAGATGACAAAATGGCGAAGAACACCCATCTTAGGGTATAAATTGTGTGTGCCAAATCCGCTTTCTTGCAATGGGTGTCGGAGAGGGACATTACAAAACACGTCTAAATTGCTTAAAAACGCCGAGATTGTCAATATTTTTCAAATTTGTTTGAGAAATAGACACAATCTCTGCGTGTGTGTATGCAAAGACCAAGAAAAAAGACAACCTACGCCTGGTGCAATGCAACACCTATAGTTCAGCAGATTTGATGTTGCCAATGTTAGTGGCAACACTTGGCGACCCATACAGTAGGTGTGGAGATTGTCGCTGTTTTTTAGATATTAATTAATATTGTGAAAAAACAGAGACGATCACGGGCGGACTTGAAATGGAAGGACCAAGAAACGAGGCGACCTAAACCTATATTATAGTCCTGTGTCATGCCGTTGCAACGGGCCAAGCTCTCACAATCCCTGACACCAACGTAAGACACTCGTGCACAACAGAGTCAAAGTGAAGAACAATATATCTAGAAAAAGTAGGTTACTGTAATTCATGGTACAGATTTGCGTGACGTTTACTTACTGTTCCTTATAATCAATGGTTAGAACTTAGATACAGATTGTGTGTCCTTGTTACCTCATGTTGTTACTATTTAGGCCGTACCTACAAATATTTACCACTGACATATTGACCAATTTACCATCACACTAAACTTTTATGGTCAAGGACATGTTATACGAGGTAACTTTTGCTACAACTTGCGACGCAACAAACACATGTTCTGCTTAGATTTCAATTAAGGTGGAATCGACTTTACCGGTTTTTGAATTTTTGTCCCAATGGCCTCGTTTTCATGTTTGCCTATTGGAGCATGGCAAGACACAAGTTATATCCCCATGCACGAATATGTTTATATTTGATCTTGAGCCCAACTGAGTTTATATGATGTGTTGTCGTGAAATCACTAAAATGTGCCCCCCCCCCCCTCTCTCAAAGATGCCTGAAACAAGCACCCCCCTCTCGGGATGGACTTGAATGGAGGTTTACGATATCAATTAAAACGCATTTAAAAACAATTAAAGACTGTGGCTTTTCCTATATTTATTTTGTGCAGTAGTTCAGGACGGAGGTTTATTAGCGGGGAAGGGGCCAAATTAATTAATTTTCACCTATAGAGAGAGAGGAAAAGTTTATTAAATACGTGTCAATTACAAATTAACTTAAATCCTACTTCTACTAAACTATTATGCATGCAATACTAAAAGTTTACATTAGAATATCTATGAATTCTAATAAGAATATCTACTATGAATATCTATTAAGATCTTGTCTAATAGTTACACCAATTAAATACTATACACTATCTTTGAGCTTTTGAAGCGTAATAGTTAATGAAACTGTCTTTAAAACGATTCGTCTGTAAAACTGGCAAGTCATATTTTGAGGTAGACCTAACTGTACAAGATCAAGATACTAACAGCACTGTCTGGTAGTGTCGGTTCGTTTCACGACCTGTTCGAGGAACAGGTAGATGAGAAATATTTTGTGCAATGAACTCCAAAAGAAGAAATGCTGAAACATGTTAATTTAGCAACAACCATTTCCTTGGAAATTTCGACAAAAAACAAGACATTCTGACGTTTAAATTATTTCTTTCGTTCAAATAAACTATAGTTATAGAAATGAATAAACGTGATTCTCTATAAAACATTACTAGTTTTCGTGTTTCACCATATTGATGGCTAACTACTGTAGAGGATAGTCGGGGGGGGGGGGGGTAAATAGAGTCCGGGGCTTATTAAAGAAAATACGGCATATTTAAAAGTACTTTTTTTTTAATGACGGAAATATTATCCTGATTCACTGAGCCCTGAATTTATTCATAGATGATAATAACAAAAGTTTTTCTATAACAATTTTCAGCAAGATTTTCACCTGATGACAAGGTATCGAAAGAAAGAGTTGTGATGAAGAAGCGATTTGGAATATTGTTAACCCAACAGGATCCGCCTGTTTTTTAACGAGTTATTTAAAGGTACTTTTACAAACATCAAAACTGTTTATATATTGTAATGTTTACCGGGACAGAATGTTTTATGCATTTGGCCAATGCTTGTGCAGTAAAATCAGTACAGAAACTACAGTAGTTCTTATGAAATTTGTTCTTATGTATATATTCATATTGTATATTCTTAAAGATGCGGTACAGTCCGATCTGCGCATGTGTCCAAAGGAGCCCTCTTTTTATTTACAAACAGTTTATTTAGGTTTTTATTTCATTTTATGTTCTTGCAAAGCTTGATTGTTGTCTCTTGATAATTTATTATACTCTAGAATCATGAAAATATAAATAGTTGTGGAATAAAATTCAATATTTTGGATACCGAAATGTAAACAAAGCCTTTGTTTACATACGTAAACAAAGCCTTTGTTTACATACGGGACTGTACTGCATCTTTAATAAGAACTGTAAATCATGAAGCTTCAGTTGATTGCTATTGGAGGATAACTATTTGTACGTTCCTGAAGAAGATTTATTTAGTGGTAGAGAAAATTTATATGCTTTTTTCAAACATTCTATACATAATATTTTAATGAACTAACAAGCAAACCCCTTCACAAGATTTTTATATTTTTGCATATTTTAAACTCGTCGTGCATGATCCGATTTGGCGCGTGAATTTCCCCCAGATCGTATTTGATATGGCCCGTGTGCTGGTTCATATGGGCGATGACCTTCTGAGGCCCCCCAACCAGTCCACGTCAACCCATCTACTAATAAATTTATACTAGTGTACATCTACTAATAAATTTATACTAGTATACATCTACTAATAAATTTATACTAATAAATTTATATTTTTACACGATAGCCGACCCTTCTCGAGACCTGGGTCGACCCCCGTTGGGGTGATTGCTAGAAAGTATACTTCAAAATAAGGTTTCCGTTTTTATAACGTAGAAAAAACCATCCTAACGCAAAACTAAACCCTAATACTAACCTTAACCCTTACCCTAACCTAACCTAACCTAACCCTAACTTATTTTAAAAATTGATATAAAAACGGAAACCTTATTTTGAAGTATACTAGCTAGCAATTGCCAAGGTGTGAAGGCATGAAATTTTACTTATTTCTTCACGTACAATCGTGGAAATTAATTCGTATAGAAAATTTCCCAAATTACCCCCCCCCCCCTGTTTACAATTTTGGTTTGTGGTCCAGTAATCATGGTTTGAACCAACACTAGAGAGTTTAAGCTTCGCATTTATACGTCAAACGGCAGGCAAAAAAAGTCACTATATCAGACAATAAAGAGTAAATGAACTCGCTGTTTTAGAACTGCAATGCATAATTATTCTTTCGACACAAGAAAGAAGATATGAAACGAAAACGTTCAACGAAAATTTTGCCTGCCGTTTGCCCTTATTCGGAAACGCGAAGCTTAAACTCCCTATTATTTAAACTAGGTCAACTACAGTAGGGCGGGGGGGGGGGG